CGTCGAAGCAAAATTTTGTGGACAGAGCTGGTCATAACTCAAAATCATATATTGGGACGTTTGTAAATTGAGGCACCATTACATATGTTGGGACGTTTGTAAATTGAGGCACCATTATATTTGAATGTCATTGACCTGAGATTAGGAAAGATTACTACAGGTGCCCCTCCCCCTTTCAAAGTACATTATGGCCATAAAATACAGGGTCAGCTCATATGTATAGGGCCTTGAAACCCTAGCCAGTGAAGCTCAGGGGGAGAAAACACACTTTTTTCAAAACAAAAAAAAAAATTATAAAAGCGTCCTCTTGAAAGCAGAGTGTTCCCCTTATGTAGTTAAGCTGATATTTACTATTTTACTATTGCTATTTTATTTTTATAGGTTCAATACTTAAGATTTGGAAGGAAATTATGCACTTTCCTCATAAATGGCTTTGAGCAAGTATGTAATCTAGTACAATTAATTTGCCAAGTGGTCTTCTCAACACTGCAAAACATTTCTGGAGTGCTCAGCTGATTTACGATGCATTATAATACAGAAGATGGGCAGTTAAAATAAGCTCCCTTGATGGAAGTTGAGTCATAGCAACCGGACTTCTTTCTTGTTAGGTTGAAACATTTTGCTTCTCATCCAAGCAGTTTCTTCAGTTTGAGGAGAGTTGGTAGGTGATCCCTGATATATCCTCCAGGTTAGTTTCACTTCCCCCTGGTCTGAATAGGCTTGTTAGATAGACAAAGGACGGAGGGGGGTGAGGGATAATCCCACTTCTGCAGTCCTTCTCCACTCATTGTCATGGGTTGTTGATGGTTAACAGTGATATTTTGTCTGTCCCTAATCTTTTTTAGAAGGAGGAAAAGGCATCATGATAAATAGGAGACAGATTGTATCTAAGGCCCCCACCCCTGTTGAGTGAGGGATTTTCTATAAGCACATGTATGGCCTCCCTGACCCCTCTCTCAAACGATCTATCTTCTCAGTTTAAAATGAGTACATCTTGGTTATCAAATGAGTGTCTTTTGTCCTTCAAATGAAAGAACACTGCTTAACACCATGCAAACCAGCAACAAGACTCTGGCCAAAGTAAATTGGCTTAATAAAGGTATTATAATTGTGTTTTTATTTCAGTATCTTGCCTCTTCACCTCAGCTTTATAATAAATTGACACAGCTACCTGCATGTTAAATATTTGTGTGACAAGGAGACATTACCCAAGTGAAGTATCTACCATCATAATTTCTCCCTAGTATGAAGGCTCGGAGCTAGTAATGCAACACTGGAAAGCAACATGAAGGTCAAGTCTTTGATTCAGTTCAATCCTCAGCATAAATCTGATCAACTGATAGCATATTGCTTTTACACAGAAAAAAACACAAATCCCATAATAGTTGTGCTTTGCTGTAGCCATGAGATTCCGTGTGCAAGAAAGTTATATAAATATAGATGTCTGTGGGACAGAAATTGGTCATAACAAGACTGTCTGTCCCAAGTACACAAACAAAAACATAATCTTTAAATATCACCACTGGCCAGGCTAGCTAGGCCTTCTGAGAGATGGGATTCAACATCTTTACTTCATTAGCCCTGAATTAAAGTCTACTATTTAGAGTGCAAAAAGAGGACTATTTGCACTTGTGAATATGGGACAACAGCAGTCTTCAAGATAAATGCATTGGGTTATCTCCCCTACAGACAGTTGATTGGATTTGCAAAATCTTAAGGAAGGCTTCCTTTTGCAGTCCCTCTTAACTATAAGCCTTTGTGTTTTAAATCAAACCTTTGTTTCTCCTTTTGAGTCAAATAAGTCTACTCAGAATTATGTCTTTAAAAAGGAGTCACCTTCTGGTACCTTAAAGGCCCAGATGTTTATCCTAATGCAGACCTTCATGGACTTCATACAGACAATGGACAAAGTGACAATAGGCTATCAAACTGTGAATAATTTCAGTTGTGTCAGTCTACAAGAAAGCACTCTAAATAATACATAAAATAAATAGTTGATAGAAATGGCAAACTGTGGGAATCAATGTAGAATTTTACACTTCCTAATAATTTAAGATGGGTTTCTAGCATCTGTATATATCTTTTACTTAAGTCCCCTTTTTTTTGGGGGGGGGGAGAGAAGCACCTAACAAATTGTATGTACAAATGCTGGAGATCCACTTATAGTCTCACTCTTAAATCTACGTAAGTGAACTGATCCACAAAAGCTCACTTTAAGATATGGCAGTTAGTCTTTAAGGTGCCACAATGTTTTTGTTTGTTTATTTATTTATTTGATTTATATACCACCCATCTGGCAGCCAAGGCCACTTTGGGCGGTTTACAACAAATAACAAAAACAGAGTAACAAAACAGCAAATAAAAAATCATAAAGTGAAATGAATATAAAATTATGTACAATAAATAAAATTTAAAAGCGTAGAAAAATAAAAACATGGAGCATGGCAGTATGATAGAAGTCATATTATTGGACAGAAGTTATATTATTGTCTTCTTTCTTTTTTCTCTGATATACTTGCACAAACTGAGGGCATATCCAGACAGGCATTTGTTTCCCTTTGGTGTGTTGTTGGGGTGGGCCAGTCCACTCTTTTGATCCTCTATCCTCAGAGAGGCATTTGATGAAGCCATCTGTGGGCTCATTCAGATGGGCATTTGTCCCACTCTTTGGTGCACTGTGGGGGCTGCTTCAGGATATCAGTGGCTTCCCCCCCCCTCTGGCATCTACATGGCAAGTGGACCAATTTGCTCCAATTTGCCCCCAGGGCACCCCAACTCACATCTTTCTGAGCTTGTCAGGGGCGTCTACATTTACCATAGAGTTTAGTCTGTTTCCAGCATTTATGATTACTGAAAACTGACTAAAACTGAGCTTTGCAGCCCTCAGAGCTGCCGAGGTTTATTCTGGTTTGAATTTCTGGCATTGTGGAGTGGATAACAGATGAGCTGCCTCAGGATATTGGCAAACAACACTTAAAAAGCAAAGAAAGACACATCGATTCCCACCCCTTTTTTCCTCCTATTTTTTTTTCCTGAGTGGGTTTGTGCTGTGTGCAAAAGAGAGATGAAAAAGGCAAGAATAAAATTACCTGAAAGGTAAAGTGCAAAAATACCTGAAAGGTAAAGTGCAAACGGAGAGGTGTGTGTGGATCCACAGCTCAGTGATAAGAGTTGCTTTTATTTTTAACATGGTCACAGAGATCCTCTTGGGGAGGTCTTGTGTTTGGATGGACAATCCCTTTCCTTTTTAATCTGTTTTGTGCCCTCCAAGCAATCCCCATCTCTTCTTCTCTCTGTGTCTGTTTGGGTGTGTGTATATACAACACAAGGTGCAAAAGGGGGGGGGTCCCTTTCTTTGTCTCCACAGGTGAGCCTGGGGAAGTAGTGAGATATTTCATATACTCCTTCTCTGTGTGTCCCATTCCTTTCTCTCTGACTCCCCACCCTCCCAAAACTCACTGTAGCCAAAGGGGAGCACAAAGGGCAGATAGGTTACTAGAAATAGGATTGCTTGAGGTTGCTATGCGATGCAGGCACGAGGATCACATTAAATGGAATGCTGCTCTTCCCCCTGACCTCAACTGATCCGATTCAGACCGCACCAAAAAACACCAGTCTGGACATGCCCTTAACATGGCTACTTCTTCGAAAACTTCATAGACTACGGTTCATCAGATTTAAAGGGGACTCCATACCTCCAAAGAATTCCAGTAGTTCATATGATGAAAAGACTACAAATGCTTTGTTTTTAAGGTGGCACAAGATCTTTTGTGTCTGCTATAACACAAATACTCGAGAAATGTGCCTCAACATTATTTATTCTTGGATTTTGTATGTATTATTTATTTTATTAATTAAATCATTTTTAAAGTGTACTTCAACCTCGTGGATATGAGGGGTGTTGTACAACTCCTATTAAAATAATGAAAATACCAAGAGACACCATCAGAATAAAACAAAAGTAAGCAATAAAAGGGAAAAGACATTAAGAATCCTTCTGAAGTAAATTTTCAGCAGCTATTATTCCCAGATAAGGTTGTATAGGATTGCAGTGTGAAGTACACCCATCAAGATGAATGCAGTTTAATTATTTTATCTATCCTGAATGTGGCTTACTGGATTTGCATAAACCATTAGAAGACCTTCCCCTTTGCAAGCACTTCTTCCACACTTGTTTTCATACATGTTGGTATTACTTTAAGCAAGGAACACCACGTTGGAGGGACAGATAAGTTGGGAAGAATTCTATCCTGCCAGCACACTTATTTGTACCTCTTTTCTCAACCAAATAAATATATTTATTTAGAGGTAAACCTTGCTGATTAAAGAAAAAGTAAAAGTTTCTACTTTTTAACTAATTAACATACATTACAATATGTATTTTTGTGGATCAGTATTCACATAATTAGATTACTAAAGCACAATCTGTTCTAATAAATGCTCACTTCGTTCAATGAAGCAAATTTTAGTCCACAAAAACTTATTGCACAATTGCTGAAATCCAGTAGTAAGTTGCAGCTAGAGTAGACCCATTTGAACCTGTGAAATTTATAGAGAGGCTGACTCACCAAAATCTCCACTGAGTCAATGGGTCTACTCTAGTTGCAGCTTACTACTCAATTTCAGCCAAAATATGTGACAGGTTCTTTTGGATTCACTGGAACACCACTATTCCATATTTATTTCAATATGATTTGCTTTTTATGTAATTGTGTTTGTCTATCATTTTAAACCACTCTTCACATATACATATACCAGGGTGGTATACCTACAATCAAAATAGTAAACACATCAAAATTATAATCAAGCAAAAAAGCTGTAAATAAAACAAACTTCAGAATTTCTGCTGAACTAATGAGTAAGCAGATCACCCAAGGACAGAGATTAACATAGTTGATTAGATTTACAAAATTAGTGGCAGGGTTTTAATTAAAGCCATATGACTGAGTCAATCTGAATGAAATTAAAAATTATTTTCTCAGTTTACGAGATTAGGAACAGGAAAGTAGTGGTGTGGAGACTTTTAAGATGCTTCAAGTTGTGAAATTCAGCCAAGTTGGTGGCAATTTATTTCCTTATCTCAAGTTTTAAACAGAACCAGCAAGGAAAACCTCAGACTCATGAGTCACGGAATGTCCTAAATTTTCTTGCCTCATGTTTGCTCTGCGTGCGTACGTACACAAATATGCCATAAGTTTCCTCTTCTTTTAAATGCTTCTTCTGAATGGTCTCAGCTAACTTATCTGAAATGAAACAAATGCAACAATACCCTGCACACTTCCTTAAAATACGATACACTGAAATATGTGAAGTCAAATTTGGGCAGATGGTAAAAAACAAAAACAAACCAGTTTTGTTTTGAGAGGTTACTTATTTCATTTACTATGCCAAAACCTGGGAAATGTTTACATGCCAAATTCCTGCATGGTTGTAAAAACAAATTGAATTATATTAGAAAAGTTGACTTATGTTCTGTCAGGTTCATGCTCTGAGAAAGATGATGGCTCAGAAGCTTGCCACTGGTTTCTTCCCCCCACCCCTTTCTCCCCCCTAACAGGAGACTCCTATCCCTCCAGTCCAGGAGGACACATCGTTCATCAGCTAAAGTTTTTTTTCTTCACAATTGGTGTCTGTGCACACCTAGATATCCAACACATCAAGAAAAATATGGATCAACAGCCTTCATCTTTGGACTTTGTTTGGGGCCCAATTGTTCATGAAAGCCTATCAGAATAATCTAAATCTACACTACCCTTATTCCACTGTCCTGTTACTGCCAACTGAGGGATAACACCATGGGCTATTTTCTCTCTTCCACTCCTGGTATCATTGAATATTCCATTTGAAGTGTTTTGAAGAACTTAGAAGATCACTCATGACTCTGTAACATTATGCTCGCGTCCTCCCGCCCACCATGGAGAAACCTTGAAATGACAGGTCCGGTGATCAACGTTTTTGCTTATTTTAAAATATATATAGCCTTCCATTTCAGGGACCTAAAAAATGGCAGAAGATAATATTCTATAGTTTATTCACAAGAACAAGGCAGAATAATACCAGTCACTACTAAATCTGATCCAGTTTGGTTTCTATTAAACCCTTCAGAGCATACTGTAGCACACTGGTTCTTAACCTTGGCTTACTCAGGAGTTTTGGACTGCAACTCCTAGAAGCCTTCACCACCAGC